CTGAGAGTTTTGATCAGAAATGGGTGTTGGATTTTATCAAATGCCTTTTCTGCATCAATTGATATGATCATGTGGTTCTTCTCCTTTGTTTTATTTATGTCAGTTTAGCCACTTTGTTTTTAAAATATTTTCTATTTTACCTTTTGATTAGTTAGTATATGTTAACAATACAAACATTCAAAAGTTTAAAAAAGTGTATAGAGTGAAAAATAAATCTCTTTCACCCCTGCTTTCTAGCTATCTGGTTCCTTTCCCCTGGTACCAGTTTGTTAGGTATCGTCTCAGTTTTTTATTTATTATGCAGAAATAGAGTATGACATAGAAGCATGTACATATATATTCCGTTTTTACGTAAATGGCAAAGTATCATATAAATTATTGGGCACATTTCTTTTTTCACATAACTACACATAAAACTCAAAAAACTCACTGCCGTCAAGTCGGTCCTAACTCACAGCGACCCCTCCTTGGGTTTCCAAGGCAGTATCTCTACGGAAGTAGATTGTCCAGTCTTCCTTCCCAGGAGTGGCTGGTGGGTTTGAAACACCAGCCTTCTGGTTAGCAGTCAAATGCCTTAGGCACTGTGCCACCAGAGCTCCTGTAACTGTACATATTGGAGATATTCCCAGAGCCATACCTAGAGAGCTGCCTCATTCTATTATCAACAACTAATTGCCAGAGAGTCAACTCCAACTCACGGTGACACTAAGTGTGTCAGAGTAGATCGTGCTTAATAGTTTCCAGTGGCTGATTTTTTGGACATCATCAGGCTTTTCTCCAAAGCATCTCTGGGTGGACTCAAACCTTCAAACCTTTGGTCAAGCACCTTAACCATTTGCACCACCCTGGGGGTCCCATTCTGTTAAAGTTGCCTAATATTCCATTGGGTGGGTACACTATAATTTATTTACCCAGTCTCCTGATAGACATTTACATTGTTCCTAATATTTGCAATGGCCTTCTAACCAATGCCCCTTTCCCATCTTCAATCAGTGCTTCACACTACTATCACATAAACCTTCTAAATTTCCTTCTGATGTTTCCTTTCTCTGTTCAGAAACTTCCAGCAGCTGCCCAATATCTAATAGCCCTGAAAGTAGAGCCTTACACACATGCTCTTCCTCCCCTTTTCTGTCATGTCCTACTGTTCTCATGTCCTTCGGTTCTCAAGGACACTCCCTAAACTGATGGCTTGAAGTTTTCCAAATGTACCTCTGTTTTTATGCTCAATATTTTCCCTCAGCCGGCACTACCCTCCTCCAACCATTTGAAGGGGAGGAGCAAATTCCACCTTCCCTCTAGGATTCTCACAGAGCATCCAAGTTACTGTCTGGGACAGCTGCACTTTCAGTCTCCCACTAATACACCCTACATTGCAAGCCCAGGTGTTCTGACTTTGGGTTTAGGCAACTTATTTGTTCACCAATCAACCCTTTCTCTTCTAGGCTCCATATGAAAAGATAGATTTGTTACTTTCAAGTAGTTTACAAGGAAATATAAAATGGTGTGTGTGTGTGTGTGTGTGTGTGTGTGGGTTCTTTTAAATCTCTGGTCCCTAGCCCTGGGCCTGACACATGGTAGATGCTCAATAAGTTCATGTTGAATAAAAACTAACATAAAAGGAGGCATTTAAGGCGAGTTTCAACATTTTGCCATAAAAGCTATTTTTTTATTATAAATATATAAATAAGTCGATAAATACTGTACATGTCCCTCATCTTTTAAAGAAAAAGTGGGTAGGGTAGGAGGTAGAGGAATTAAGTTTCAGCAAGAGAGGGAGGCAGACAAATTGCACCTGGAGAAGGGTCTTGGCAAGGGGGAGGCGGGAAGAGAGGAAGGGGGCGGAGACTCTCGCATTCCTGCTCCTCCTTCTCCACCACCGGGTGGCGGCGGCGGCGGCGCAGGGTGGCTGTGCGGGTGCGGGCAACAGCTGCAGCAGCCCGCACCTCCCCTCGGCCGCGGCTCCAGGGGTGAGTCCGAGCACGACAAGCAGCTCGCGGCGCAGCGTACCCGAGAGACGGGAAAGTTCAAGCCCGAGCGCCGAGATGCCGGGTAGTGACACGGCGCTCACCGTGGACCGGACCTACTCGGACCCGGGCCGGCACCATCGCTGCAAGAGCCGGGTGAGAGCCGTGGGGAGTCTGGCGGTGGGCGCGCGCCGAGGTCCGCGGGGGTAAGGCCGGGGAGTGTTTGGCTCCCGCGTTTACTCTCGACCCCCGCGTTTTCCTGCCTGCCTCTCGGTTTCTCGCTTCCGCACTCTGTCAGAGCTAGCAGGGTTGAGAAGGGAACGTCGGAACCCGGCTTGCGGCCCCGAGACCTCAGGTCTGCCGCCGGGATGGAGGACAGAGTAAAACCCGAACTACCCCTCCTGACTCTGTCCCCGAGCGCCTGTCGGACAGGTCTCCCCGACAGCCTGTGCCTTGCGCCGCGCTCCATCGGCCTCTCCGCCAGGGAGCGCCCGCCGCGCGGCGCCTGGACGTGTGGGAATCCCGCCAAGCGCGGCCCTGCTTTCCAGGCCTGGGTGAGACGCCTCCCGCGCCCCCCACCCCCTTCTAATCTCCCAGGCAGCTGCCGAGTCCCCCCAGCCCTCGGAGCTTCAGGCTCGAGACACAGGGCCGGAGCGCGGAGAGGCGTGGGGCGCGGCTGGGCGGGCTTCTCCATCTCCCGTGGCGGCTGCTCCCGGCTCTGCCCAAATGAAAAGTCAGCCTTCGCGCTGCCTTTCCAGAGTTTCTAGCCGTGCAAAGCAGGCGCCCTCTTCATTGTTTGCAGCGTAATTTGCTGTTGCTGATTTTGGCTGTGGGCGAAAATAGCTCTTCTTAGCAGGCAGCAGAGACGAGCCATCCAGTGCTTCTATATAACGACGGAGGCCGCAAACTGAGCGCTTTTCTCTCCCGGGAGAAGCAGCCTCCACCCTTCTCGGAGGCTACCTTTGCCCTCCGGGTAATAATGCCCTCCCGGTTTAATCGTCAAAGCTCGACGGAGAGACTGGAAACTCAGTGCCCCTCCTGAGTGATTGAAGTGCCGTGTGAAACAGCAACTCCTCCACTCCGGCATCTCTTCTAGCAGGAGATACCTGAAGTTTTCTTTGCCCCACAAAGCTCTATCTTGACCAGTCTTAGCATTTGTGTGCCAGCATCCCTGTATAAAGTCTACGGAGGTAGAGAGGTGCACAGTCTGGCTTGCCGCCTCTAAGATCTAGAGTCCAGTCAGACGGAAATAGTAGCAGTGGTGTCAGAAATGTGGGGCGGACTCTTGTGCGGGATTTGGGTATTCAGTAACAATTTGAAGAGTAAAATAAAGTAACTAGTTCCTGGTATGTTTGCTCTTTGTCTTTTTAGCATCTGTTAATCAATTTAATAGAATAATTTTAAAATTTTATAGATTAATTGTATTTGGTGGAATACCTCCAGAATCCACACTACTCTTCCCCCTGTAAAACATGTCATTTTTTGCAGTTTTTAAAAAGTACAATTACAGAACATTGATAAAGAATCTGAGGTTACTTACAGTTAGAAGTTTCTAGAAGGATGACTAGTAGTTAACACAGAGTTAACTGAATACAAGATGAAGACCTTTTTCTAATGCATTTGTAATTGTAATTGTGTGGGGGGGGGTTGTAATATTGAAGTCAGCAGAAGAATTTCAGACTTGAAAAAGTGTGGAAGTGTGAATTCCCTCCTCACAACTTTGATGATCTTTCTGTAAATAACAGGGTTAGAAATCCTTGATGGCTCACTGAGAGTTCCTTTAAGCGGTCTGCCAGATCATGAAAGTTTCCAACACTCACTCACTCTTCATAACCTGTAAAATGGTGGTGATAAAGTTTGTACCTTGAATCTTGAATGCTTAGGTGGAAAGTGAGAAAGCAAACTTGTAACTTAAGTTCATGCTTAGTTTGTCTCTGCCATTGTCCCATTTCCACATCAGTCTGTCTTGTTGAAGTACCACGACCGTATGTGAAAGGGGTTTCTTTATTTTCATTAAAATTCTGATGGCTGACACCTGTACCACATGGATTATTAGTATGGAGATACCTCATTTTTAAATAGTCTGTGTATTAAAACTGAGTTGGACATGTATTTGCTGATTATTCTCTATTAGCTTATTGGGCTAATGAAATCTAGTTAGGAAACTAGCTCAGACTGAGGAAAGCTAGAATTTAATAGAATGTGATCATAAGTTCCACGGGACTGTTCTTAGACTTGTTGAGATCCCATTTTAGAATTATTGGCTGCCTGTGTTTAGGAATTTTATCATTGAGCCAGTGAGGAATAGGGAGAACAAGTGACAATTTTATAAACTCATGAGAACTTTTCTTACCTAAACTCTTAAGTAGTAAGAGGAAATCACAATTATCAGACTATCCGGTGGGCTGATATAATTTTGAATCTGTTCTGAAGGCTGCATGTAAGCATATTGTAATGAAGGGAAAGCAATAACAATCGATAATTTCTCTGTACAGGAAGTATACTTTCCATTAGTTGATTATAGCTGCTGTTTTGTGGAACTCCCTTAAATGTAGCTCATCTAGACTTCATTTCTGAACGGACTGAAATACACTGAACTGTATTGGGATTAATTCTTTGGTGTCACTCATTCTCTTTTTGGAAATAAACTATCACTAGTGTAAGATTTTAAACAAATGTTTTTGTGGAATCATGCAGTGTATTAGCTCCCCTGAAAATGCTAATGACAGCTGGAAGTTTATAGGAAGAGTTGATCACTCTTTAGGGATATGCAGGAAGGACCTTAAACTCTCAGATTGTATTCTTGGTTACTACATGGTCATGGTCATTTTCTGAGTTCAAAATTGATGCTTTGTTGAGATAACAGGGAAAATACACCTTTCTCTTCTTGGGCTTGCTTAATTCTTCTTTTTGAGACTGGAATAATAATGAGGCAGTGTACTATTTTAATTTTGCAGAATTCTATTTTTACAGCCAGGTGGACTAACCTAGATTCTGTGCAACCTCCCTTCTCCCCCACCCCCCAAATGTAGCTAATGAATTCCAGCACTGTTTCTAAGCTGACAAAGCAGGATCATTCACATTTTTTAAACTAAATCTTGTAAAACTCAGAAATAGTGCATGTTAACGTGATGCTCATAATATCTCTCTACTTTAGAAGAAGGAGTGTACATAATTAGAATCCTGCTTTTTTTTCCCTTGCCCTAGATAGTTAAAGCCTATCATCTTTTAAAGAATGCAGGCAGTCTGCTGTCTATACCGTTGCTGGTTTTCATTAATCAGTCTTGTGTGAATCAATTTTTTGTTAGTCGATGCTAATTTTAAATGTTCTGAAATGCCATCCTGGGCCAGTTGGGTGGAGAGGTGAACAGCTAGGGCTCTGGGGGTTAGACTGACCTGGATCAAATCCTGGCTCTTCACACTTCCCAACTAGGGCAATGTCCTAACCTTGTTGAGTTTCCCATCTATAAAAGAGATAATAGTAGTCTATATTTCTGAGAGTGATTGTGCATCTTAAATAAGAGAACATTTTTTTAAAAAAACAGCAACAACAAAAACCATGGTGTGTGTACCATTAGCTGTTTTCACCCACATATAAGGTGGGTACCATTAGCTATTTTTACCCACGTACAAGAAGCTCTGATGGTATACCGGATCCGGTATAAGACATTTGGCTGCTAACCAGAAGGTCAGCAGTTCAAACCCATCAGCCACTCCAGGGAAGGAAGATGAGACAGTCTACTTCCGTAAAGATTTACAGCCTTGGAAACCCAGTGGGGGTCACTGTGAGTCAAAATTGACTCAATGGCAATGGGTTTGTTTTTTTGTTTGTTTGTTTGTTTTATAAGGTGAACAACTTTTTAATTCTTCTGTTAGTAGCAACAATAATTAGCACTGCAAATCATCTTGAGTGCCTTTCCTGCTCCCCATTGAGAGCAATTCCATTGAGTCTTTCTTTGGTTTTTCTCTGGAATTGGTTCATTCCTCTTGTGAGAAGGTTGATGGGTGATTGGTTCAGTCATCTCCCACCGTAGCTTAGCTGCTTATGGTCTTACTGGTGATAACTGCTGCTCTAGCTTCTTAATTACTGTGTGATTTCACCTAACTTCTATCCCGTCCAGCCTCCAAGAACCAGATCATTCTGCCTGGAGAACCACTGTCGTTAGACTGCTTCTTAGCAGTGTGACTTTGCGCTGATAATCATTCTAAGCCTGTTTCCTCTTCTATATCATAGGGGTGTTGTGAGGAATAAATACAGTCATGTCTATAAAATGCTTAACACAGTGCCAGGCACAAAGTAAGAACTCAATAAATGGCAGCTATCTGTTATTACTGTGTATAAGAAGGTTCACAAGCTTGAAAATGGAAGGACTGCCACTTTTGTGACATGTGTAGGGCATTTTCTAGTATTTCTAGCATATTACCTAGCTCCATCATATGTTCCTCATCACACTGTTTATATGTCTGTTATAAATATTGGTGTTTGCACTTTGAGGGCGAGATGCTTCACTCATTCAACAAATACTTACTGCGCATCTTTTATGCGCCAGCTGCTATTCTAGGCTTCAGAAATACAATGGTGAATGAAACATAAACAGAGCGCTCTTTCTAGAAGCTTAATATCTGGTGAGTGTATCTCATTTATGCTTGTAATCAGGCAGTATCCTTCTCTTTTCAGAAAGAAATAATGATAATAAGTAAACCAAAGTCTCTGACACATGAAATAAATCTGTAATGCCACCTGTAATCATTGTTAAGTGTTCCATGTTTGGAAATAGATTCCAAATTGCATAATGAATAATGACCAAGGCATTCAAGGAGGTGATGTGGTAGCCCTTTTTCACAGTGGAACTGGTTAGGCAGTGATGTAATAAATTAATGATTGCATCGTTACTCCCAAAGCAGGAGCTGGGGTGAGTAGAAACAGACTTCCACGGTGCCGTACCCTGACCAGTGAAACAATAAATGGAGTGCTTTCAGAGTATTCGTTCAATCCGGTGATTTTGTTCTAAAGATTTAGTTAAAGGGACTGTGAATAACGGCGTGTCTGAATCCAGACTTGACTTAAATTCAGGGTGGATAGGTTGATGTGGTGTGTGTTTTGAGCTCTGCTTTGCTGCAGGCCCACCAGTTCTCCCTTTAGAGGAGAACAACTT